TGCGGCGGCGGCGGCGGCGGGAAGAGGCCCACGCGCTGACCCAGCTCGGCCTGCTGCACCATCTCACGGTCGTACTTGACGATCTCCTGGATGATGGCGTTCTCCTGGTTGTTGAATACGCCCGAGTTGAGGTCATGCTGCACCTTGTGCAGAAGGATGGAATTCTTCTTGCCTGCAGGAGAGGGGGCGTCAGCGCGTGCACAGGGAGCACTTGCTGTGTACAGCAGGCACCGAGCACCTGCTTACTGTACGCGGCACGCATACATGGAGCACCTGCTGGATATAGCAAGCAGGCACCGAGCACCTACTCTATACAGCGGGTGCGCATGGAGTGCTTGCAGTGTGGAGCAAACATGTATTTAGTACCTACTGTATACAATAAGCACACATGTAGCCTCTCTTGCCTACAGTATGGATATTGAGTACCTGCTGTATACAGGCACCTGCTATGCACAGCCAGCATGCATGAAGCACTTGCATACAGAAAGCAGGTTTTTTGCTCTTTTTTTTTTTTGAGACACAGTCTCGCTCTATCGCCAGGGCTGGAGTGCAGTGGCGCCATCTCAGTTCACTGCAAGCTCCGCCTCCAGGGTTCACACCATTCTCCTGCCTCAGCCTCCCGAGTAGCTGGGACTACAGGCGCCACCACCACGCCCAGCTAATTTTTTGTATTTTTAGTAGAGATGGGGTTTCACCGTGTTAGTCAGGATGACCTCAGGATCATGATCCTGACCTTGTTCTCCCACAGTGCTGGGATTACAAGTGTGAGCCACCGCACCCGGCAGCAAGCAGGTATTTAATGCTTGCTGTGCACGTGGAGCAGGTATCAGTGTACAGCAAGTATGCATGTGTACCATCTGTATATGCTGATTATGTAATGAGTGCCTGCAGTGTGCCACAGGCATACCGAGAACACCTGCCTGTAAACAGCCCGTGCTCAGCGCCTGCTGTATACAGAAGGTATAACTTAAACACCTGATACTCAGGAATGTGTTACATACTCGCTGTATAAAGCAAGTTGTGGAGTGCTTCCTACTGTACGCTGGGGAGCTCCCTGACACCACTCCATCGCACCTGTCCTGCGTTTCCGCCATGGTCTTCATTCCCATTCCCACGAACAGCAGCATGATCTCCCTGGCGCCTACATCCAGTCATCAGGGCTCTGTCCCTCCCTGCCTCGGAGACTGCCCCCTCAGAGGCCAAGTCACCGTCTCCCTCCTGGACACAGGCCGCCTTGGTGGATACTACTTGACCAGGTCCTCTGCCCACCTAAAACCCTCCATAGCTCCCGGATGCTCCTGATTTAGTCAAAACTCTCCCTGCCGCCCACTGGGCCCTGTGTGTCTGGCCCCCCCTTCCTCCCCGACCTCCTCCAGGCCTCCCTGGCTCTCTGGACTCTAGGCCTCCCTTCGATCTCAAGGCCTTAGGACGTGCTGGGTCCACTCCAGGAACACACCTTCCTCCCCCTTTCCACGTGGCATCCCTTACCCTGGTCTTCACTCTGCATTCCCAACTCAGGGAGGCCCACCGGCCCCACCTGCCCTGCTGGCACACAGCCCGGTCGTGTGTGATTTGACCACCAGTCCATAAGCCTCCCTGGGAGTCTGAGTGGGCCGACGGGTCTGCCCCTTGCCCCTCCAGCACACAGCAGGGGCTCACCGAGCATTCAGCACAACCGAAAACACCCCGTGCATTCCCTTCCTTGGGAAATAGCTGCCCCTGGCCAAAGTAGGACAATAGGTCAGAAAACCAGCCTGTAGACCCAAAAGGGCCCCAGGAGCGGCCAGCCACTGCCCCTGCCCGAGCCACACCCCTGCTGCCTTGGCCACGCCGCTGCCCCAGCCATGCCCCTGATGCCACAGCCACACCCATCCCCCATTGCACCGTCGAAGCCACGCCCCTGGTACCTTGGCCACGTCCCTGAGGCCTCAGCCACACCCCTCCTGCCCCGGCCACGCCCCCGACCCTCAGCCTCGCCCCGGAGGCCCTGGCCACGCCCCTGACCCTCAGCCACACCCCTCTTGCCCCGGCCACGCCTCCAACCATCAGCCACGCCCCCGAGGCCTCAGTCACACCCCT